ATCACAACCAAATTCAAGCTAACGAGTCAAGAAAAGCTCACCGGCAAAACCCTAAAAATTGGTATATACACTCTACAATTTGATCAAGTATAAAGTGATTTGGTTAGTAAAGGTCACATGTCAACTTCGATGACCCTAACTAACAAAATCACTTTATAGTTGATCAAGATGTAGAGTGTATATACCACTTTTTAGGGTTTTGCCGGTGAGTTTTTCTTGACTCGTTAGCTTGAATTTGGTTATGATGATGATACCTTGCTCTGATGATGTTAATCGTGTGACGAACGAAAGCTTAACACCTTTTGACCGGAATCGAAGGAGATTGCCTCGGAAACAGCGTCAGCATGAATGCTCCAGTAAAGCCAATCGACAGTTGGTCAAGAGGAATCCGCTGTCGTCTTCTGGTGGAACCGACCTTCGAATCTCTTCACCTAACCCTTTCACTCGAAATGGAAGTAAACTCAACAAAGTTATATTCGCTTTAGCGATAGATAAAGTTATTTATTTTTCGTTTATAAGTAGGCTTTCGAGGCTACCAGTAGTTCAGATATATGAGATGCATTTATCCTATTTCATTTAGATGATTATTGCTGGTGGATATTATGCTCATATTATTGTGGGAGAATTGAACAATCAGACTCTTATCATCTCAAATGAAATAAAGTGAACACAGCACATATATCTGATTTACTGGTTGTCTCGAAACCCTAATTACAAACAAAAATATGTAATGTAGTTGATTGTTATAGACAAAAGAAGTTTTTTTATCGGCAAACCCTTCACAGAATGTTAAGGGTGAATGCCTTGCCTTTCTTGAAATCCACATCTGCTCTGTGATTCAAGGGCTGTCGTAGCAATGTGGCGAAAGTGTGGAGATCATATTCTGCAGTGTCATGGTTTGAGTCCCGCTGTAGGTGTTGATAAGACCGATGCGAGGTCGAAACTACAGTCCACATCTGCCTATGTGAGGTTATTTTTCGAATTAAGTATTGTTTTCGTGACTACCAATAAATAAGTAGTATGAGATGTATTCGCCCAATTTCGTTTAAGGAGATGAAGGACTGGTAGAAGTAGAATTTTCCCACAAATGATATGAGTTGAGCTGAAGTTTCCATTGAATTT